TTGTCACGATCCGCTCGATTTAGACGATTCGTTATCCACCGCGAAACGCAGATATAATTCCTTAGAAAGGAAGGTTAAACAAAATAATGTTATTCATCAACAATGTGATGAAATTATCCGCGACTATTTAGAAAAGGGATACATTCCTTTAGCGAAAGACTTGGAAAATGATTCCAGTTCGTATATTATACCTTATCACCCTGTCGTTAGAGAGGATAGACTAACGACCAAAGTACGTATCGTTCTAGATGCTAGTGCCACTATATCTACAAACATATCGCTAAGTGACTGTCTATATACTGGACCGAATCTGCAATCAGATTTACTTGTGATACATTTTTCATTTCCGCTTATTTCCTGTTGCCATAACCGCTGATATACGTCAAATGTACTTGAGAATTTTGGTTGCTCCAGAGTTTCATCGTTATCTTCGAATGATATACCGCTTTTCCGATGAAATTAAACCGCAGATTTATGAGTTTAACCGCGTTTGTTTCGGGCTCAAATGCTTCCTCAAGTCCTTACCTTGCAATGCGCATGGTAAAACAGCTTTTATTAGATTAAGGTCCATCTTATCCCGCCGCCGCCTCAATTGCTTCTCGCAATTTATATATTTATAACCTATCTTTAACTTTTCTAATTTAATTTAATTTATTAGACGAACACGACAGTCGATATCCAAAATAGATTAACACATTAATTTGTTTAAAACTAGATTTGAACCAGAATGCCAACCAGGAGCGTGTACGTACAGCATGTTTAGGAAAGTACTCAAACTCTCTACTACGAAACTCACTACGAAACTACTCAAAGTATATGGAGAGAAAAACGCCTTGAAATGAAGAAATAGCAAAATCAATTATTAAAGTAATTGCTCCTAAATTAAAGTTAGGCGCTATTTATAAAAATGAATCTTCATGCGTGAACAGCCACCCTTCGAGGTGGATGATTTTCTTCAAAATGAAATGGGACCACTATGGAAGTACCCCCTTTCCGACAAAAAAGAATCATGAAAATCGGTGTACACATGCAAATGAGCTATCGCGTAACATACATATAAAAAAAAGAAAAAAAAGAACATACAGTCGAATTGAGAACCTCCTCCTTTTTTGAAGTCGGTTAAAAAAAAAGAAAAAGAAAGAACGCTATTGTTTGCGCAGTTTCATGATCAGAAAGCGCCAGAACGTGAATATCTGCTTTTACTGATTTTGCATTACCGACGATCAAGTCGATACATGAATTTAACCTCGTTGGTGACTTTATGTGAACGTTGAAGTTATATTTTGAAGAATGTTCAGGAGATCTTTGGAAGTTGTGTTTTCCTGCAATATATTAATGTTCCAGTCACCGCAAATGACGATTTTTTTATGTTTGTGTTTGGTGGTAAATGAGTGTATAAAGGAATACACCCACGAAAGCCCTTACGTAAGTGTACCGTAGATAGACGCCCCGTAAGTGTACCGTACTGAATTACGTACACTTACGGCGCGCGGCGTCTATCTAGATATATGTCTGTGCATGGAACAAAAGTTATTGTTTATGATGTTAATAACATAGTCCTGCGAGGTTATTAGTATTTTTCAAATAACCCTACATATATGTGTAAAAACGTGTTGTTTAGTGTCTACACTTTTCCCAGCGGTTGTGCCAGGAGGTGGCGAGGAGTGCCATGGCACAGGATTTTCATAGTTTCTGTTCCTGTTTCACACTTTGGAAGATACTCACTCAAATGATTATTGCATTTTGTAAGGGAATTCGAGCGTAACGAATCTATCATAAGTTGGATGTTTGTACGGTTAATAAATAATAGCCTACGTTATAAATAAATAAATTATAAAAATGTGTCCTTATCTATCTAAGTATCATTCATTTAGTGTAGGTTCATCCTGCAATGTTGGTGTATTCTATGAAGTGGTGTGCTGCACACCTGGAAGGTCAAGGTTTACAATATCGTTTAAGTTGTCTTAAGGCAAAACGGTTTATTGTTAGACGATATTAATAGACACATGACTGCAATCATAAAGTAAATTAAAAAAATTTAAGCGTTATTTTAAAATGTATCCTAAACCAATGGGTGCACGGTGATTCACGCTCCATACTAAGGCGGTCATAAATACGTAACTCCGAAATTATTATATTTTTTTTATTTTATTACGTTAAAATATGATTAGGTAAACGTAAATTAATAAAATTATACATTTTAAAAAATATTTGACAATAATTTAGGTGTAAAAATGTCTCGCAGTAATTTTGTTTTTAGACGATGTATCTAAAACATTTTATACTGCGACTTTTAATGGTAAAACTGTGTAAATAATGATTATTTGTATTAACAATAACCACAAATGAATAAATTAAAACAATAAAAATACATAAAAAAGTTCATTTTACAAAATACAAACAAAACACAAATTATACCAAAATACATTAAATCTCAACAATATTAACTTTAAATACATAACAAGTCTAATACAGCTTTTGACAGTACACCTTTTTTTTTAACATGTAACTTTCGTAGACCTGTTATGAAGGGATCTGAATGAAGAAGCAGCCTATTTACTAAATCTGTGTTGGTCACAATGCGACTCATTTTACGCGTATGATTTTTTCTAAAAGACTTGATGTATTTGTTAGTCGCTTCAGCTGCTTCTTCAGACAACTCTCCGATTGACAACAAACCGTAATCTATAACATTAGCACCATGAATTAGAACTTTGTGAACGGAAGCAGGCATGTTATACCACGGATACTCGGCAACTAACTGCCGAGCCGTCTCTAAAGCGAACTCTTCGAAGTTCGTCTTATTAATATTATATCCCGAATTTAAACATTGAAGGATGATCCAGCAACGATCTAGGAGATCCTTCTTGATCCCAGTAATTTCAGCGGAAATTTCTGAATTCGAGAAAAACCGCCTGGCTGTATTACCATCGTTTGATGTTCCGCTTCCGCCACTTTTAGGCTTATCCACTATAAGCCCTAATCTTTCTCTAAATTGAGTCTGAACATATGATTTTTTTGCAGCAACAAGCATTTTGTCATTAGCGGACCTAGCTTGCCATTTCCTAACATCTAACTTGTACGCGACATGAACAAAATATTCAAAAAAACGTATTAACGCGTGAAGAGGTGATAAACCAAATTCATATTTACTCTCATCGACTTCCTTATTTAAACATTCGTCAATTTTGTTCATTTCACTGGGCAAGGCGTTACAAATAAAACATTTTGATGAAGAAACACCACTAAGTGCATTACACACTTTACCATCTACCATAGTAAGTTGCAAACAATGAGTAATGCGATATTCGCGATCTTCTTCCTTGAAAACAGTAGGCTGCAAGTTCCTTATTTTATCTTTAAAATGAGCTTCTTCCTCAACTGACACTGCAGTCGATTCCTTCAAATATCGGAGGCGTATAGGACGACAGTATCGAGTTGATGAAGGACGAGGATTTTTCCACAAAACTACTGAATTTTCTTTGTTATCTGTTGTCAAAACAAGCTGAAGTGGCACATACGAAGTAACAAACAGGCTACTGTCTTCAAGAGTGGAGTCAGAAAAACACTGTTTATATTCTGAATGCCCTGTACTGCCATCGAAACCCCATTTCCCTATCAAAGATATCTTATCTAGAGACTCATTAGGTACACTATCCAAAACATCTTTTTGAGACTTGAGAATCCGATTGGCAGTATGATCTAATAAACTTTGAAGTTCGACTTGGGCGGATGATTCTGTAACAGTAATATCTGAAGGATAACAGTGTTTTTTAGATTCCACGACACTTTGGTAAGATGGGAAAATGGTTTTTGAAAACTTATTGTCTATAAATTTCTTTACTAATATATATTGATGTCGAGTTAACTGAGCTTCAACAATGAGCGATAAAACTTCGCTAGAATCGATTTCAGGACAAGACAAGCTATCGGACGCATTGAGCAATGACTGTACAAGAGAAGGGTCTTGGTTAGACAAACTAGCCAATCTTCTCCTTTTTGTACGTTTACTGGTGTCGTCAAAGTTAATTCTCGGACGGCCATGCGATGAAGAAGTTGATGGTTTAACTTCGTCAAAGCTCTGAGATACACGTAACTCAGTTCGCTGTACATCAATATTTTCAACGACATGCAGCCAATCTGAATATTTTTCTAAGAATTTAGATCTAGTACGATTCGACTTTGCCCAGTAGTGGGAAATTCGTTTACAAATATTCTTAATTTTAAGGCTTAAAGTCTCTAAATCAATATTTTCGATGTCGTCAGAAAGGGATGATGTTTCGGTCAAAGTGCTCAGGACATGTTGCATTTTTTCATTTGGATTACCCACTTTAGAGTGCCAAATATCAAAAATTGTCATCCTCGATACAGAACATTTGAAAAATGTACCTAAAACAATATGAAAGCTGAACTTAAAAAAAAATTAAAAATTCAATACTATGGACATGCATACTTTGACACCCCTTTAAGCCAAGAAGAGGCAGCAAGATGCAAATGAAACTTATAGCTCTTAATAAGGACATACTCCTTATTCAAAAACCATATACCTCAGGTGCAGCTCAGCGCAGCCAAAAGTTGTAGGTCTAAAGGAAATTAAGTTATGCCAAAAATTTTCACCAAAAAACTGCCTTCAATAAAAAAATTATATAAAAAAAAGTATGCATAAAAAAAATTAAAAAAAATTGATAATAAAAGTACATACCATGCTCTTGGATCTCCATGCTTTCACAACACGTAAACACTTGATTTGGAATAGTGACACTCAAAAACAAAGTGATTAAGTTTCGATGACTCACACGTGGTGATAATTAGTCTCGCGATGCGCTCACTTCCGATGCACAAAAGTGAATGATAACGTGACCTAATTACATTGATATTTATAGTTTTTGGAAGCTTGTTAACTAGTTACTAACTTAGTGAGTTGATCTAACCGGGATAAGCCAATGATTTTTTTTGATTTATGGCCTATGGGGGAATCACAGTGGGGTGGTGCGTTCTAGATATGGCGTTCTGCGCGTGCGGCTGAGCGTGTGCTTTGTGTGGTGGGTGTCAGCGGTGTTCGTGTTCTATGGGCTAGCGGTGCGCGCGCACGCATTGTTCGGCGAGCCACACGTCAACTACGCGCTGCTGGCGGCGGCCGAACTGCCTGCGCTGCTCGCCAACACGTTGCTGCTCGACCGCATCGGCCGCCGGCCACTTCTCACAGCCGCGTTCCTGTTCACGGCTACAGCGCTTATCGCTATCCCCTGCCTTCCTCCGGGTAAGTGCTCCGGTTTTCTAAAACCCTTAGGGTTAGCCAGCGCAAATCGGCGGACGGTGGGGCAACACCGGAGAGGATCTTGTGCCCACCATTATAGTTAGAAAAATTGAACCTTAAAGATACAGTTTTAGTTCTAGGGGTCACATATAAATAAGTTATTAAAACGGTTCAGGTCTGCAATACGCGATGCAAAAAATACGAAAACTTTGAACCGAAAACGTCGAAACAGCTAGGTTGGTTACTTCAGCTACTTTCACAGTTTAATGAATAATGACGTAAGGCATTTTGCTTTGGGGTAATGCCGCCGATATTAATGGAATCTTCGTCCTGCAGAAACGTATTTACAGTTGACAATCTGGGCCTCCTCAGTGTCTTTGAGAGATAAGTTTAAAGAGATTAACATTCTTACACTAACGCCACAGTACATTTATGAAAATGGTATTCATGTTAAGACAGAGTATTATTTTTTTATGAAAAATAGTAACAGACATAACATTAATACAAGGAATCAAAATAAACAGCCTGTGCTTGATAGTCGTCTTCACAAAGTCTCAAATTCATTTAAGGGGCAGTGGTACGCTTCTACAATAAGATTCCGATTGATATTAAAAAATTGCCATTTACGAGGTTTAAAACTATTGTGAAACAAAAACTTTATACTAATTGCCTTATTTTGTAGAGGATAAAGTTTATGTTGCATTGCTCGTTTTAATGCAGCGCCGCGTCGTGTTGCGTGTCCGCAATATGACTTAAGACTAAAAGTCACTACAGCTTCTGCGTACGCGGATGACCAAAACCCGGGGTAGTGACTCGTTCAGCTGTTGCAGGTAGTCTCGATCTAAGATGTTTAAATTAAATAATTATTGTAAAGATAAATGTATTGAAACGTATATTTACAAAAGCAACTCTTACAGTTTCTTGCTCGTTGTTCTCAGGGGAATCTGCCTTACGGATGAGCAGTAGAGTTTAATCAGCATGACGATTTCAAGTATAATTTGCTTAGCTTAGAAAAAAAGATAATTTGACTTTGACTAGCTCACACTGCTGAGGATCATCCCTTGCGACACCGCGAGTGCCGGCCAGCGCACCGCAACGTATGCTCTAGCGTGCTCTTCAATACCGAAGAGAGATAGGTCGATCAAGGTCGATCTGAGAGCATCAATTGAAATAGCATTACATATGCATTGATAAATTTAATTTAATATCCTGTCTTCCCGTTCGCCGGTTTGCGCCGGTCCTGCCGCTTTCTCGCTCAAATGTTGGACGTTTGCTTGAAATATTTGAACATTTAAATGAGGTACATTGCTTGAATACATTCAACAGGCGCCAACTCCGTTAGGTAGGCCAGGACCCAGGAGGAAGGCGCAACCGCTAAATGTTACGATGTTTGCTTAGCGCTGAGCGCCGGCGCGGCGGGCACGGCGCTGTACCTGGCGGGGAAGGTGGGCGCGACCATGTCCCTGAACGCGCTCTACGTGTACAGCGCCGAACTGTTCCCGACGCGCGCGCGCCACCGCCTGCTCGCCGCCTGCTCCACGCTGGGCCGCCTCGGCGCCATCCTCGCGCCGCTCACGCCGCTGCTGGTACGAGCCTCTCGTCCAATAGTCGTGTGCGCCTCAGCGGGCGGTAGTGAGTGCGGAGTTGCACGTTCCAGGCGTCGCTGCGGTGGTGGGTGCCGACGGCGCTGTTCGGCGCGCTGCCTCTGCTGAGCGCGGCGCTCACGCGGCTGGTGCCCGACACGCTGCACCAGCGGCTGCCCGACTCGTTCGCCGACCTCGACACGCGCTCTGACGATACTGAGCTGCCGTGACGGCGTCAACGCACCCGCGCCGATAGTGTAGCACGTTCTAGTGGTACACGTTGCGGACACGGTGCTACTACCTATATACCAATTCTGTTGTATTTTCACGTCGAACGATGTACTCGACGACAGTACCCAATCATACTACGCATATTTATAAATACAATGTAATGAACGCCGTGATGGCTATTTGTTACAGTTGAATGGTTGTGAACATAACGATGAATATTACCTATACAAAGTTACATATTTTTGTAAATTAGTTTAATTGCTTATTAAAATTATTTAGCAGTTAGGACCGCAAGTGCATTACGGTACATCTCTCTATCCGAGCGTTTTATTTCCTCGCGTCACGTGTCAGATGGGACGATTTGCAGCGCGGGCGCGGCCGGGTGCGAACCAGATCGAGACAATATTAGGCATGTATGCAGAACTGATCGGCAGTGGCCTTGACCCACTCACGCTTTCTAGCAGGCATTGTGCCCCAAAGGGCGGGCGCGGGCGCGGGCGCCGCGCATTGTCAGTCGCCGCGATACCGCCACCCGGTGCAGCGACATCGGCTCGCTTCCTTTCCTCTAGCACGATAGCGACGTGATGGACGAAGGCGCTGCGCCGAGAGACGCACCAAGCGGCGTGGATGTGGACAGCATAGTGCGACAGCTGGGCGTGCTGGGACGGTTCCACCGGCGCGTGTACCCGTTGGTGGCACTGGCCGCGATGCAGGTCGGCCTGCTGCATACCACGTACATCTTCCTTGCTGGCGACGTCAACTACAGGTACCAAATGTGTTCACCGCTGATGACAGGAGCAATTCGTAGACTTACAATTCGAGGAAGTGAGGTATTGCAAATGAATCACGACAATGCAATAATGGTGACTCCCGTATTTACTACTACTGCTACCTTTTTCAATACGCTTTTCCTCAATATATTTTACTTTTGACCGACTTTAAAAAAAGGAACAGGTTCTCAATTCGACAGAATTTTTATGTGTTACGCGATTGTTTTATACACTTGTGAACCGATTTTGATGATCCTTTTCCTGTCGGAAAAAGGTGCAGCATTATATAAATTGGAAGAAAATATTCCACCTCTAAGGGTGGCAAACTAGGGAATAAATAGGGGAAAAGGAGAAATCCGGATTTGACGAACTTTCCAGTAACCGATTGTAAAGATAGAAGTCGGATTTTTGCTAATAAAAAGTATCATAAGTCCTTTCTGTATTTTGACGGCAAGCGCTATCGTTTTTGACTTAGGTACACGTCACAAAAACCATCGCAAGGAGTGAATTCCGCAATTAATTAATCGAATCGTTAGAACTACTCAAAATTAACAGCATTAAAACAACAAAATAACAATGTATGACATTTTCACCTACTTTTTGTTTTTTATAGGTAAGGTAAGGTAACAAACTCTTGTGCATGAACATGTGGTCATGCACAAGAGTTTGTTCGTGATTTAAAATGAAAAGGCATAGATTTTTCTTATAAACAGAATATTAAAAACGCTTAAAATGTGCCTAAAAGTGAATACAATTTATAAATTGAGTAATTTTTTTCTACGTAAATCGTGTATTCACGAAATTGATTCCGTACACAAAAGAAACTCCTTGCTGGGAAACTTTACATTGATTTTGTGGAAATGTATAATAATAACGCACACACTCAACATCGCTCGGCACTAGGGAAATCCTGCATCCCAGGTGCCATGAACACACACAGAGACAGCCACAAATTACATCTAAACTCACGAGAGAAATAAATGTAGGCCATACAAATATTTCTCCCGGTCTGGGAATCAAACCTGGGACCTCAGCCTCATGGCAGTCATCAGTCATGGTAACCGTTCGGCCACGGAGGCAGTGTGAAGGAGTTAGTGAGGAATATTTCCGCATGAAAATTAAATTATATTAGGTAATATAACTTTTCGCATTAACAATTGTGTTAAAATTTATGGTGTAGATTGTTGAGTCGTTTTTTACATTTTAAGAACTGTACAACTCCCAGTTAGTTTCATCAAAAGCAAATTTTTCATAGTCAGTCTTATCTAAGCACATTTTGCGCAGTTGAGGAAACCTAAAGAAATGAGGCAATCGTGGTTGTATTGTACTCGCTACCATAACAAGTTATCATATCACCCCATCGCTCTACACTTTGATGCAAACCATATACTCCAGGCATGTGCTCCTTGTAGAGTCCGTTGGCAAAATATTGTGGTTTTTCATGTTGTTTTATATTATTTAAAGTACACGTTTGTGTAGATCCTACTGCATGGAGACGTCCTTTAGAGGGGACAGGTTCACCTGCAAGACAAATCGAGCTCCCTCTCGTGGGAGTACACATTACATATTTGGATATTTTGTCATACAGAAAAAAACGTGAGATCTAGAATTCATCAACACAAGGTGCTACCCACGTGTCGCCGTTTAGGAATATCGCGTCACGGTGACCAGCAATCACGCGGCAGACTTTCGTGCAATAACTCACCTATTTCAATGCAGTAAAACTAATTAGCAATACAAAGGAGCTGACGCTTTGATTTTTTGGTACGTACCTAAGCAGTTAGTAGTTTGTATTATGTCGCGTAGTTTTCAGTCAAATGAGTTTGTGATTGGGATTGGGAGATTGGCAATTACTGTGTTCGGCTGTGCAATGACACACGTTGCGCAACGAGCTTGCGAAGTGACAGCGGCGTGGCGCAGGCCGGGACGACAAGGTGACCGCGGGAGAATGTTGCACTGACGGACGAACATGCGATCGCTAATTGTTATTGACTCCCACCTTCGAGGATGACGAACTCTTGCCGACACTTACCGAGTTGGGGTTAAGTCACCATATCGTAATTAGCTAATATAATATAGAGATTTTAATGCCGAGCTATTAAGTCGGCTTACGTACGCCATTAGTTGCTGCTAATGCAGATTTCGAATAAATTACCCTGATGACACGTTATTGTTATTACGCTCGTTACGCGTGAACAACACTGCACAGCGTTTTTGTTCCCCATGGCGGCCGCGGTGGTGCGACGGCGCGTGCAAACGCCGCTAGTCGCGACCCCCACCGAGCGACCTTCGCACCGTGACTCAAGCGCGACCACTTTTTGTGAAGTCATCAACACAAACATTGGACTAGCACCAATTCGCACCATTCTAGCGCAAAGACATGAAATACCGTTATATTTGGACATTTGACAACATAAGGTACCTATGCGTCTTGACACTCCCTGTCTGCCGACTTAATGCGTACGCTGTCTATACATTTCGAAAGTCAGTATGCAGATAATACTTCTTAAGTTCACCAGCGCGACACGCTTCGCTCTGTGACAAATGCACCTAATTACACTGGAATACGTCTATTGAAACCAAGTACGCAATTGTACGCGTGCACCAGGTTCATTTCGTCATCATCAGTTTGTTAGCTCACCACGAGAGACGGCTCGAGTGAAAGCTTTATCAACAAGCAGCGGTACCGAGTGTAGAACCATTTCAAGTCAAAACTAATTGGGCTAAAGGCATTAACATGGCTTACTTACAGGCGTGTAACTTACTTTGTAACGTACCCTGTGTACAATTGAAAATAATAATATGTATAAACTAAACTATATTGACACATCATAAGTGTACGACACAATCGTTGTAACTTTTTTTCTATCGTAATTTTTTTTATCTGTCAAATTTCATACTAGCCGACCAAACTGGGGTTTTATTGCTCCGCGGATAATAAAAAAACGTAACGCGTGATTGGATAAAGACGCAAGTTCGCTTGAGGTAGTACGCGAACTTATTTGATGTCTATTCTACCGCAAGCAAAAGACTCCGTGCCCGCGACTTCAACAACTCTGTTACCACTCTTTGCCCTGACCTCTGTGTGTTTGCTACATACAGAGTTAATTACACATTGATAGCAGCACGACGATGGACTGATGTCGAGGCGCGTCCTTGAGAGAACATTATTGGCGCGTCAGTCGCGGTTGGTGTGCGCTCGTGGCGCGTGTCTTCTCAGCTGCGGCGCGCGTGCGCATATCCGGTGTCCGTCGTTTTCATACTGATGTAGTGTTTTTTTAAAGTACAGGTTCAAATGTACGTAAAACAATTTTTTTTAATTTTTGCCATTTGCTAATTTGAAACATCAATGGCAATTAACAATATAAAGTTTTTGTTAAATTGTACAGTCTAAAATATTCGGTTGCGCGAGAGTTTCAAGAATAAGAAACGGTTTATGAGTAGCGAGTGATAAACAAAGTAAACGGCATGGCTGAAAAGACAGCAGATAGTTCTCCGGCGGCGGCGGCGCCCGTGCCCGGCGGAGGTGTGGACACGGAGCAGTTGATGCAGGAGCTGGGCCAGTTCCGGCGGTTTCACTTGGTCAATTATTGCCTGCTGGCGTTGGTGGGTTACTTCGCCGCGCACCACGCTCTAAATTATGTCTTCCTCGCCGCTGATGTGGACTACAGGTAAGGTCCCCATAAAAATATCGATTACAGTAACGGAAACAATAAAATAAAGACAATGTAAGCTAAATATTATTATAGACTACGAGTTAAAGATTTTTTCTCTGTAAGTCAAGGAAAATAATGGACACAGGTCCATACAATTTTTGTTGACGATTGCGGCAACAAAAAATAGTTTTCGAGTTATACACAGGATAGGAACTAATGTTCGAGTCTAAGTCGCATATATTTGTTTTTTCAAGTATAAACCAACATTTCGGCCCTTTATAGGTCCCATAGTCGCAAAAAATGCAAAAAATAAAGTGATGAAAAAATAATTTAATTTCCTGTAAAGTACCTTGTTTTGTATATGACACGATTGAAAAACCGTTCTTACATTGACCTTAACACAATTTCTTCTTATTTCTTGTCTACTTGCGGCTGAGCTTCACTTATGACCATGACGGACGCAAGAGGTGGTAAACCACGTGCAGACGTCGTGTCGGCCTTCCTCCCATCCTATCGATGCTTCTTATGTGACTATTTTATTGTGTTAGACTAGCATGTTCCGCCCTGATTGCGCAATCTGTACATTGAGATCTTCCAAATTGTAGGCGTTCGGGCACGAGAGGCACACTAGGAAGTGCTGCGTGGGTTGTGTTGTAGCACTGCAGTCACTGGGCATAGTCATATTAGCGCCTCGGAACCCTTATTTGCACATCTTCTAAACAAAGTTCTGAACGTTTATGAAAGCAAATCAAAGTTAATTTGCTTTTAGGAACACCTTCAATGTTAAGATATCCTTTCGGCATATCGGTAAAAGTAATTGGGAAGGAAACCCAGGACAGGCCCTTGAGGCACTTCAGATGGCCACAGCCTGCAATCTGTTGGGGCACGGCTCTATCCATCGAGGATGGCCGATGGAAATGGGAAATTTGCCGAATGGTGTGATTCATACAATTTAGTGTCTTTTGTATGTATATATAGCATAGGTAAAGAAGAATAAAGTAAGAAAACAATATCTTTGACGAAAACTCTTTTTCTTTGTTCTTCAGGAGTCGCAATTTGTCGTACGTCAAGAGCACATCACGCTCGACACTTTGTACTTTGGTCAAGCTTCACGTGCTCTGGACCCTGTACATGCTTCAGAAAACGATTTCTAAAATCTAAACAACGTTTCAGCGAATACCTTACGGCTGGAGCGTTTAAGTATATGGTCCCGTATCTTATGTTCGCTTTTGGAGGTGCTATTTAAGCATTTATTTTTATTATTTTTTTTATACTTTATTGGTTCACTTACAGTTATTACAATATAACATACTATAAATTCAATTTGGTGAAGTTCTTATCTAAATTGCGCAACTACTTATGAGTGAACACAGCTTGCAAAAACAGCGTAAAATGTAAATTATATAGAATTTAAAAACAGCAACATAAATTTTAAAAAAAGTAATACAAACAAAACCAGTAAATACAAGTGAACAAGGGTCTCGGACAGCATCGAACTAGATGGCGGAAAAAGAACAAAAAAAAACAAATGAAGTTTTAACATAATACTAATGCGAAATTTGTGCAGCGACTGCCAAAATATATCGCAAACGTGGCTGCGCTTAATATATAGTCTGCAGAGCCTTGTGATACAGGAATTAAAGCCCAGAATGGTCTTACGGAACGGTGGCGCTACAGGAGCAATGGTAAACGTAAGGTATCTTGAGGAAATTTTGAAGTTAAATTTAGCTAACAGTTCACGCAAAACTTTACAAAGAAATATTAAGTCCAATAATTCTCCCCTCTCTGCAAGCGATAACATTTTAAAATGCACAGGTCTATCAGAATGCGACCGCAACTTTCTGGCTAACCCCACCGAGAAGTGCCAGAGAAATCTCTTTTGTATTCGCTCAAGCCTCAACATGTGATTCGCGTAATGAGAGCGCTAAACCGAGCTAGAATATTCCATTATACTGCGAACTGGGCTATTAAAAAGAAGTACTTATTTTAAGTATTTTTGTAGCAGGAGAACGGAACACCTTTTCGTTTCTTATGACAAAACCCAGGACTTTGGAAGACCTTTTGATAATATTTTCTATACGAGGTATGAACGTCAATTTGGTGTCAAGCAGCACACCCAGATCTCTGATAGCATCTACCTCCCGCAACAAATGTCCGTCAATTTTATAATTAGAATAAATATTATTTAGTTTTCTTGAAAGTTTTTTGTGTGAAAATGCCCATACAAAAAATTTGTTTTGTTAATATTGAGACTCATCTGATTAGTAGAGCACCATTCCTGCAGTCTATCCACATCAGCTTGCAACATAGATACATCCACAGGAGATTCAACGATAATTTATTATAACCTTTTCAATAACTCTTATGTAGGTATATGGTGTAAATGTTAACTGTAATATATATGATTAAGTGATTGTGTAGAATACCACGTCATTCTATACAATACCGGACAAAATATAAACTGCCTCTGTGGCCGAACGGTTACCATGCCGGACTGCCAAGCAGAAGTCCCAGGTTCGATTCCCGGGAGAAATATTTGCATGGCTCACATTTATTTCTCTCGTGAGTTTGGGTGTAATTTGTGGTACTCTGTGTGTGTGCCTATGACACCCGCGACTCAGGGTTCCCTCACAGACATATATCTAGATAGATATGTCTGTGGTTTCCCTAGTGCGGGGCTATGTTGAGTGTGTGCGTTATTATTATTAAAATATAACATATTTTTTAGGTGTTGTACACATTACTTAGACATTGTACAGAAAGTCTAGGTATCGTATAGAATGCCACATGCAGACGTGGCAAAGTATTTAATAAAGAACAAAATAATCAATCAGTCATTTATTACACATTTCTGGGAATCACGTGTGACATTTCCTCCAAAAGACAACCATTCAATTTTGATACGTAGGTACCTCTACTTACATGACACTATGGGACATGTATCGTCATTATGACTCTTTGTTATAATATATGTTTACGACATCAACAATAAGTTATATTATATTGACCGACCGAATTTCGTATTAACATTTCATTAGCAAAAGGGTAGAAACATGTCTCAATAAATTTGCAAATTTCATCAGAGTACACGTCTCAGACTAATATATTAATATTACGTTTAAGATCTTCAAGTAATTAATTCAGTATTGGGTCACTTTTGGAATTAATAATTGAATAGAATAGAGGATAAGCTGTATCATTGGCAAAGGTATTTAGTTGCATATAGTATTGCTTAAGTACGTACGTTAAAATAAAATAGGTAAGGACTTAAGATATAAATACACCTGAACGAATTCGACGGAAATTAATTTAGGAACGGAACACGAGTCGCCCACATGTACCTCAGTTTACCAAGTAGCACTAGATTAGCTTAATCAAATTTAAATTGATACAATGAAGTACAATATATGCTGTAAAGCGTAGAGCCAAATGCCTTTTCTACGTCTAAAGGAATCATCGTAGATTCACCAAAATTTGACGCCTTTGAGACAAGATTTTTGAGATAGACCAGCAGCACTGTGAATGGTATGGGCGGACCCAGCCAACAGATCCACACGCGCGGCGCAAGAACAGCCGCGCCCGCGCCTGTCACGAACAGGCGCCGATGGCGGCGCGCCGTCCTAAGAATATGGCAGATGCCATAATATGCACACGAGAGAAATAAATGTAGGCCATACAAATATTCCTCCGGGCCCGGGAATCGAACCCGGGACCTCTGCATGGCAGTCCACCATGGTCACCGTTCGACCACGGAGGCAGTTAAAAGGCCGAGCAGCATCGCAAAACTCCTTATTTCAGAGAGAAAATTCAAATTTGTTACCCAGTCTCAGTAAGTTTTGTGTACCCAATAAAGGCTTCTGTTAGAGCTTCCTATTGCTCTTTGGTTGAAGAAGATTTTAAGGAGATTTTAAGAATTTCACCTCCATCTCACCTGTTGAAATGTGACCATGAGTACGACAGTGGTGCATGCACTACTAAATAATGCCGATGCACTCTCGCCAAAGAAGAGAAGTGAATAGGCAGAAGGAAGGTAGTCGAACGCGGCTTTCCGTCGTGGCCAACCAAGCAACAAACACACTGCCACATGAGGGGGAGTGGTGAGAAATAATTGATTGTTTCTCTCGCCTCTCTCTCTAACTCGTCGCTCCGGATGTTTCCGTTGGTAGTCGTCAGCCGCACCGTCTTCCGCAGTCGTGGCCCGTCCCCTCGGCCTATTCTTTAACATGGAACTTCCGCTGAATGGCTTTACCCAGTCGCTCATTTCATTTGGAGTTATATTCACCTAATCAACTTAAATGCTCCTTATCAACTGTGTTGCATAATATTGCTTTAGCTGTGTCCGTAACATTGTTCTTTGTACCGCGTGCCGGCGATTACCGGAAATATCCGATCAGAGAAGTACAATTATCAATTTGCTGACTTTGCTATTATCCTCCTATGACTGTTTAATTGAACTTAACTGCATCAGGCGGTATATTCCATCTATAACACCTCCTTTCGCGCTGGGTCATACTCAAGTACCTACCTATACATAATTATGTTGTATGTGTTAATTTGACCTAAATGGCTTGATAGTGATCAGGACGTGTTTTGTTTGAAAATCTTTAATAAGTACAAAGTCTATAACGTAAACAGGGTAATTGCCGTAATTTATAACTAGGATACTCGTTAGACTACTTTCCCAGTTAAGAGTTCGAAAGAACGCAATAGGTATTAATCTAGTGTATTTGTTTACCCACATATGTAATGTCTTTTATCGATAACCATAATATCTAAGCCAATATTTATATTCCTCAGTACATTCTTCCGTAAGGAACAATGGCCTCATTCGTCTCAAGACGATTTGTTTATGTATCTTGGTCGCGAATAGACGGCCACGCATTAGGAATCAGAGCTGCGGGCAAGAAAAGTTAGGGACGGAATATTAGTATAATATAATTTTGACTCATAGATATGACACTACAAAGAAAAAATGTACTCCTTTTCATGTTTCTTTGAAATGTATGTATCTGCAGTGAACTAAAGCGAGCTGTTAAGAGATGAACGGAAGATGACTTCCGCCTTTTTTCTTGAATTTAATGAATAATTTGAATAATTTTGATAGGCATTTACGTTTACTTACCTACTCACTTCTACACTTTTACGGTATAAATAGAAGTTGATTCTAGATTCAATGTTAGTATGGTGGCCTTCTAGGGAATAATTACTATAATAATTAATAATAATATTAAAATAATAAATGTAAGAATTTAAATCTTCATTCAAGCATTGCAAAAATGAAACATTTTAGCAAAGTACCCATTAGCACAAATATTAATAAACCTTACATAACATAGAATAAATTATAAGATGCGATAAAATAAAATGAAATATGACCTAAAATAAAATAATATCATAAATGGGTAATTGTCATTTCCAATTCGCATCCCGGTGGAAGGAAAACATCCAGTATTGAGAAATAGAGCTGTTGAAGGACGTGTCACGTTGTTGTACATTCAGGATTGCATTGTCAGATGCAAGCACTCTTTTCGAAAATGAGGCCTCTCTCACTCGTAACGTAGCGAAAAAGTGCGGAATGCGGGTTTCCGCAAACGTGCACTCATTGACTTTTTATTTGTAAGTCAATGCATGCACTGCAAAATCTAGGCAACTTCACCAGGATACAGAACGCGTCATTGTATTGAATCCTTATATTTCAGACAGACACGTCTGACATGTGCACATGCATTGGCAGTAAGTCCTAAACAAGGTCACCTTGACTTGCTTCTTGCATTTCGCAAACCTGCGCGCCAGCGTGTTGCTTCTATACAATACAAACATGTTTGATTTTTAAATCAAGTCGTTACGACGACCCGACCGAGGGAGAGCGAGAGACCACCTCGAGTGTGTCGAGGCGACACGTGCGACAACAGAGGCGGATGTCCTTGTGAGTTATATTATCAAACAAAATTTCAAAACGCGCATGTCGGTGCAAATGTGTCGCGTTATAATCTGTGCGAAGAATTTATCGTTACATGTTTATTTTCCAAAGTAATGCAGGTAATTTTATTGTCTTGTTCGTTATATTGTTTCTCGAGATAAAATCTATTGTTTTGACAAAGTATGTGTTACCCTTAACTATTTTTCTGGGTAATCAGTGTTCTTAGTTAATGTCTTAATTTTTTTACATGTTGGGCAATGGGAAATGAAAAGGAAAATTTCTACTCGTCACTGTTCGGGGAAGTCGGGATGTAGATGAAGTACATTAACTTGTTGATGCAACATCTGATATACTAAGATTATGCAAGGTTGAATGAATGTTTGCCTTCGTCGCGCGACTCGTGTGATGACTTACAAATTTGCAGGAAAGAGTCACGATGACTCTCGACGCTCCGCGGCTCCTCCGCGGTCGCCTAAGTCGCGTCTTCCGTAGACAAGTCGTACATCAATTTAATTAATTTGTTACTGAAGAACAACTAGCAATAATAGAAAATACTACCGTGGGAATGCCACTAGCCACTAAGTGGTAACTTATTACCTATACAAACCTTTAGCAGTGTCATTGTCGTAAATACAGGTTCATACTTACATTCAAATATAAAAATACCTAAATGTGTAGGTAATCGTGCGCACTATACGTACCTAAAGAACCACGAGATATTTGTGTACACAAATTGTGTATTATAAATCACCATCCTTAACTCATTAAGAGAAGCGGATATTTAAAATAAACCGCAACACTGGATATAACTTTAATATTATTAACGTATAATATGAAGACTGTACGTCTTCACTTGGTGTTTTTAGCAATATTGTGTGGAGTACGTGCTGTTTCCCGCTTTTATGCAACCTTGATACCGATATCTCTCAATATATCGGGTAACCTCACCAAGCGAGAAACAGCCCACGTATGGTAATCACAATTTCCGTTTCCTAATCTTATTTAATTAGATATGTATTTTGCTAGACAGTACAAAAGTACTGTATAGCAAAATACACAAATTTACGCAAATAAATTACTTCTATTCGCGTACAATTTACAAAGCTAACAAATGCTAACACAATCGAGAAACAGCACACGGTATAATAATCACAATTTCCGTTTCCGAATCACATAATTATGTATTTTTGCTAAATAGTACAACAATTACTGATGACGTACAATATTCCAAAGATATTTTATAAATGCTAGCACAATCGCGAAACATCACTAGGTATAATAATCACAACTTCCGGTTCCGAATGATATTTAATTATGTATTTTGCTATACAACTGCAGTACAATTTTTGAGTTTTGAGTACAATTCCAAAATAAATATATACTCAAATTTGCGCAAACAAATTACTAACATTAATGTACAATATTCTAAATATATTTTACAAATGCTACTCTATATATATTGCACAATTTACAACAGTTCGACCATTAGAATAACAAAAATCCATAAAGTACGAATGTTCATCGGAAATATTACTTATTTACCATTGACTTACAATTATATGGACGTCGGGTCCGCGCTAAAAAGTGTCCGCACTTATAAGGCGCTAAAATCGTATACAGAGCGCCAAACTCCGCTTTAGTCTTCATTTGTTCTACTGACAGCGCGATACTGCGATGACATTACAATTTAAATTTCGAATAGGTTGACTTGGGACATTTTTGTCGTAGTTTTTGTATTAGACCCGTCGTCCATTTATTTGTAAGTCAATGTTATTTACACTTTGAAGAGTTCTTCAATACGTAATTCTTACAAAATCTCGAAATTCTTGTCCTTGAGGTTTGTAAAAAGAAGTATTTGATTCTTTCCGTAAAATTTATAATTAATATCAAATTATAATTCAATTGCTACTAATGCCTGCACAAATTATTGATTATTCTATTTAAACAAAAATAATATAAAAATGTCCTCAAAAACATTCCCTCACTATGTCTTAAGTTCCATAATCAAACACGTTCTGTGCTTTAAATCAACACATTTAACAAAAATAACCTTTGAATTTTAAACATTCAATGAAATACAAAATGTTTTTGCGAAATTAAAGCTATGCTGTGGTAAAAACACGATAAAAACAATTTAAAAAATGTATTATTATTCATGTCCCAATCAAAAAGTAATTCCCTTACACTTTTACCTTCACTCAATTTGTGAACGCATTTTTAATCTTTGACAAAATGTATTTACAAGTTGTTGAAAATTAGGCTCTGTCTTAGAGGACGGAAAAAAATAGTTTAAGAGCACTGTTTCAAATTGACGAAATTCAACTTGTGTGTGTAAAAAGTGCCTCATTCAACCAGCAGATGGATTTCTTTCATCGGGCCCGGTATATTACATACCTTCTGGGTCTTGATGAGGCTCCCCTGTTTCTGCAGCACATCTGGCATGTTTGCAGATGCTGCTGTGGACGATTTCTATGCAATCATGCGCAAAATATCCAATTCATTGGTTCGAAGAGTGAGGGGTAACAGCAACGCAGCAGAAAGGTTCGTCCAGGCAGTACTACACTTCCACCTGACCTATTTCTGCCGCCAAGCGGTAATGCCAGCATTGCTGTGTTCCGGTTTGGAAGGGTCAGGGCGCTGGTGAAATTACAGGCACATAGGATTTACGTCTCAGGGTGATGGGCGCAATGGCAATGTCCCTCAAATCTTTGCGATTTAAAGCTCTGAGTGGTGCTGTAACTGGTATGGACAGGCGTGGCGCTTACCATCCGGCGCACCGCACGACTTGTTCGTGCCGTCACTTGATATTATAAAAAAAAGAAAAACGTTCAATTTGGAATTTGTTAAAACCTAACTCGTCTTCCCAAACGTCTGAATGAAGGTTCCGTATCTCTCCGACACTATCAACATTTACAGTTTGAATGCTGTGGTTTTCTCGTGGTTAGATGCTATTTAAAGTTTGACATGAAATCACGCCCCAAAGAGGGAGTCCCGGATTAGAATAACGTAAAATCGTTTAATTTTTACCGTCATACAAAATTTCAGCAAGAAAATAACTAAGGGGCGTGACTTGATGGTTAGTACAAAAACGCACGCAACAATTTAACGATGAAAAATATTTAAATACAAATTCTCGGATATAACTGAACAACCAGAACCAGTGTCCGACTCCACTCACATCGGCTGAGAGTTTGAATAGTTTACAATTTACGTACAGCGTATGAAACACTTGACACGCCTTACAACTCTCACATTCTTAAGATTTGCTTGCCATTGCTTCCGTGCCGATGTTATATAACTTAGAATTATGACTGCCACACACTTTTTTGAGTTGTCCTTTTTGTCCACAACTCTGGTGTATGTAGTTTTTGTACCTACATCTTTAACCCACACACTGAGCATCGTGTAGCAGCCCCGACGGGGTCCCGCCTCCCGCGCCGCCACCGCCGCCTCCGCCGCCACTGCCGCTGTGGCGCTCGGCGCGCACCTCGTTTGCATACGGTCTTCTCCTTGGCGACCGTCAATGTGATACAATAATTCTCGAATAAACGGTCGCGTTCAGTTGAAATAAATTCTGTTACTTACAATAGCAATAGGAAACAATGGTAGCTGCGTTTTCGTTGCAGATGCGTAGTGCCAGAGTGCGAATCGGCGAACAGCTCCGTGTACACGCCAGGATGGCTGGCGCAGGCGCTGCCACTGGGTGCGCCGCGCGACCGCCGCTGTTCTCGCCGCGTGCCACTCGATCGCTCTCTTACCGAGTCGCTTACCTGCGAAGACGACGCCGTATTCGCCGAAGAAGCGCTGCCCTGCGACCAGTGGCTGTACGCCAGCAACGACACCATCGTCGCCGAGGTTTGCGAAAACATCCACGGTCACCGGGGGTGCACGACACTTAGTTTATTCCTTGAAAATGCTGTGTGAATATTAACGGCACGTGTGCCGCACGTGTAACGCGCCTGTCGCCACTCCGTTTCAGCACGATCTCACTTATCACTACTCACTGAACACGTAACATAGCTAGAGCTGAATTTACGGCGCGGCCTCGCGGACTGTTGTTTTTTTTGTATAAGCCCATCAAAGTCAATATGTAATATACATATGTTCCAATTATCTGGTCTGCATGAGAGCAACACCCGAACGCTAGCGACCGTTACAGTACGCCGTTTCAAAGCGCAAAATTCTGACATACCCCTTCGTTCCCACTAGTTCTATTGAGTTTGGTCTCAATTTTTACTGTTAAGTATATGTAACAATAATTATTGTAACAAAGACACAAGAGAACTTATAAGTAAAGAATTCGAAGTAAATTAGCTATGTACTTAGGCCATACTGAAAGTTTCGGGATTCTCATAAGTAAGACCAGATATTATGTTTACGAGTATTATAGATTTGTTGTTTTTCAAAGTATATACCCTCGCTATTCACATACTTTGCATTCGTTGGAGCCATTGTGAAAAGCAGTGGGACCAGCCTTCCGTAGGGAACTCTTCAATGGCTTCGCGGAACGCATTCACTGCCGCTTTCGGCTTGTAAACCGTGAACTTCTAAGTTTATCTTGGACTTTAGGAAATAAAAAGAAGTGCATGATGCAAGGTCCAGGCTGTATGGAGGATGGGTCATCAGCTCCACATTTGAGGCCTTCAAATATTTAAAGCATTCTTTACCTTAACGGAACGTGCAAAGGCATTATCGTGGTAAGGACGATATTGAGGATGAGGAGGGGCTCCTCACGACGAAGCGGGCCACAACGCCCCGTCGCGTGTCGTCCTACTCGCGGCTGCCAAACTTACTTACGGGGGAACGGAGCCCCCGCTAAGATTGCCCGCAGCCACGAAGGTACATGCATGGAATACCTAGACCAAGTTTGCAATAGAGGTTATTTCATTCATTGACTGACTATTTTGGCGTTGTATATTATACCGAGGTATTGTATAAAATACCGGATTGCATACATTGCCAGTAATAGATACACAAAGTTACATGTGACCTGCTCAGAGACCCACCTGCGGTCACGGTTAACGGTTACCGCCACTCATTTGTATCAATAAGAATAATAATCATAATATCTAGGAAATGAAACTATTTTTCCGGATTTAAATCGCGTATATTTGTTTTTTCAAACAAACCGACGTTTCGGGCCCTTTACAGGTGCCATGGTCACGGTTGATTGAGGTAGACCGAAACGTCGATTTGTTTGAAAAAACAAATAAACGCGATTTAAATCCGGATAAATAGTTTCATTTCCTACGTGTAACAATCGCGAAAACCTAAGAACTCGATATAATCATAACATCGTTTACTGCAAAACATGTTGTTACAGTCTGTTGAGTCTTATAGTAGTTGGTAAAGTGTCAAGCATGTACCCTGTAAGGGCGCAGCAATGTCAATTTTAAGATATTATACAGTTTGATTACCATTCATTACAATATTATTACAATGAAAATAAATAAATCTAAACAAATATATTCTGAAAGCCAAAGATAAGCCTTAATTTTGAGATGATTGTCAAATTTAAATTTAAGGTATTTTAAAAATAAATCAATTAATTATTAATAATCAAACAATTGAAAATGAATTAAGAGTCGGACTTTGACCTTAACTTCTTAATAATTGCGTCTATTTAATTCGTGCTATTACTATTATGTGTTTATTTCATTAAATTACATAATTATAAAATCAATAACTATATTCAATTTCTTCAACCATTATAGATCTCTTTGGGGTTACTAGACTGATTGTATTTGAAAACATTATTAATCATATCATTCTTATCATTATGTTTCTGTTACAGTTCAATTTGGCGTGTCAGGAGTGGAAGCGCACATTGGTCGGTACTATCCACAACATCGGCATGCTGGTATCGCTGCCCATTTTCGGATATATCTCGGACCGGTACGTCGCTATTCCCAAACATTCTATTCAATATCAAACGGGACAACAATGTTATAATCAGAAAATTGGTGGTAATGGTACGTACCGTCTACGCTGTTGGCAACAATGAGTTTCACGAGAATACCGCACCGTTACAGGTGGGGCCGCAAGCGCGCGCTGATCCTGAGCTGCACGTTGGTGGGCGCGGTGGGCTCGCTCAAGGCCTTCTCGGTCTCCTACGAGATGTATGTCTTAGTCGAGTTCCTCGAGACTATCGCCGGCGCCAGTGCGTTCCCCGCCGCATATATTCTGAGTAAGATACGTTTCATTTAAACATACATTTTTGAGAAGTAGGTGCTACATTTTCGTTTCCTTCACTTCATTATACTTTACCAATAACTACTAGAATTTTGATATAAATGTTTGTTCGGTCTATAAAGTCGTTTATCTTAAACATTTCTTATTTTAGATTCAGTCATTATTTATTTCGGCACGCATTGAACGCATAAAATGCATTTGCACATAGGTACTTCATTTATTATGAAGTACCTATGTGCAAATTGCACTAAAGGCAGTGAGCTCGTCTCAACGCTGCTAGAACCGTGACGGCCACGTGACGGCCACGTGACGTCTATTCAAATAAGGAAAATTGCGACTGACGTCACATATCTCATTGGTGCAAAGACCAAGTGTCGCAATCACAAAATGCAATTTTTGGATGTGGATGTAGTCATAACGTTTTGTATCATGAGGGTTTCAAACCTTAGAACAAAACTTCGAAGCCCTTATAATATCACTCGTGTGTTTGTCCGTCTGTGGACAGTATTTGTACTCAGATTTTTTAAAAACAAAAGAACAATATAAAGTGCTTGCTTGCACAAAACAATATTCTATTTCAGCTATTGAGCTATTAGGACAAGACAAGCGAGTTCTGACGACGGCATTTCTTGGCATCGTGCTGGTCATAGGCGGGCTGAGCTTCGCGCTTCTCGCCAAGACCTTTCATTATTGGCGCACGTTCATCCTTATCGTGTATCCGCCCTCTCTGCTCTTCCTGCTCTATATCTACCTCCTGCCGGAGAGCATCCGGTGGCTTCTCACCAAAGGCAGAAAGGAGGAAGCTGTCGAAATTATAATGAGAGCTGCTAAGATGAACAACGTGACTTTATCGGAAGAAACGGTGAAACAACTCACCGAGGAGAAATTGAAGCCCGTGGAACAGAAGAAAGAAAAGTCGCAAGAGGATGGTCTGTGGATACAGGTGTTGCGCTCGCCGATCATCATGAAGCGGCTGGCCATCTGCTCGTGGTGGTGGATCACATGCACGTTCGTGTTCTACGGCATGGCGATCAACTCGGTGTCTCTGGCGGGCGATAAATACACCAACTACATGCTGGTCGTTAGCGTAGAGGTGATCGCCGTCGTCACCAACGCCCTGGTTCTTGATCGTATCGGGCGTAAGCGAACGCTTCTCGCGGCATACGTTGTCTGTGGCTTCTCTCTTGTGGCTATCACATTTGTTCCAGCAGGTAAGTTGTCGTGTGTGCGTGTGCGAGTGTGTGCATGTGTGTGTGTGTGTGTGTGTGTGTGTTTGTGTTTGTGTGTGTGTGTTTGTGTGTGTGTGTGTGTGTGTGTGTGTGTGTGTGTGTGTGTGTGTGT